TATCAACAATCTGCTGCAATCATAGAAGGATATTTAAAAGATGGAAGGCAAGTTACGCGGGAGGTGGATTACAAATTGGTTAAATGCTGGGAAAATTTATTCCAATGGAAGATGAATACTGCCGAGGTGTACACGTATTTTGAAATATTTTTCGATGGCAGGATCGCATATGTAGGACTTCCAATTCACGCCAATGTAGGTAATCTGGGCCTTAACGTATACCTATGTAATCCTCTTTCTACATCTATTTTCTTATATTGAAGAACATGTTTGTTCTTCCATCTACATTTTGATAATGAAGCTTCCATTTTCAAGAAAAAGGGTATAATATTTACCAATGAGAATTGCATCGATTCACATAAATGGGAAAGGGCTGATTCGTTCACTGAGACTATGTTTCAAGTTGCATAAATAGCTCCAAGGCATAGCTAGGCTTTACAAAAAGCTCGGTAATCTGTTCGTTACAAAAGGGCTGTGTATATCATGAGCATGGTAAGACCAATATTTAACTATGCCTGGGTCGTGTGGTCTCCTTCCTAAAGGTATTACCTTAATTCAACAGAATAAGTTCAGACGCAATTCGAGCTCTTTGGCCTTGGAAAATTTGGTTGGAATCAGTTAATCTCTTTGCCAGCTTCGGAGAACATATTACTACTTTTAATCATAATTACACTAGCGAAACGAAGGCATCCCATAATTAGTTAAATGAATAATTGGTATTATTGGTATGATGGGAAAGTTCTATCGTATTTTAAAGAAAACATTTTGATTTGAAGACGCTTTATGCGTTCGTCAGCGGGCGGGCGGTGTATACCGAGTTACCTTGCAATTGCAAAGTGGTTAGATGTGGTGACGGTTACGGTGACACTGAAATCTCTGGAACGAAATTTGTAAACTATATTTGAGGAGAACGAACATTAACAACTTCACTTGCCTATGGGTCATATAAGTTTTTATAAGCGTTACTTCCTTTCTGAAAGTCAAGTCAAATGCAATATTTAAATGCACTTTATCCACTTCACTTTTTCACTGTGCCCCTTAAATAATAAGCTCCTACATAACGCATTCTGCCTATTTACGTTAGTTTAACAAGCAAAATTACCTGGAGGTAGTAAAAGATGGTAGAATTTTCCCGCCAAGTGATTACTTTACAAAAACTAAATATCTAGCATAAGATTTATTTTTAAGGATCTAGTCTAATTCGGCCGGTATTGTATTGCACTTAAGGTTTATATGTAAATAAACAAGTAAATTAATATTAAAAATATTTTAATCTTTACAAGAAATGCGAAATTTACCAATAAATTCGAAAATTATATTCGGTCATGACCTAATCTTTTATACCCATCACAGTTACCGGAAAATAGAGTAAAAAAAAGGAAGAACTGAATTTTCATACTCTATAATATTCGGTGGGTGCGAGTGATTTTTATTATTTTCCAAATAAAAGTGTACATTTATATGGTGTTTGCGAAAGTTTCTTTTCAAATTCTTTTCGCGATATCTTCATTTTTGCGAGTGGGAGAATGTCGATCACAGATACTACACTGTTGGGCAGATGGATATATGGACAGACGACGGATTTTGCAAAGCTAAACTTGTTTCAAATTATATACACAATCATATTGGGTAGGCGTGATCTCAATTTACGTAGTTCGGCAGGCGTACCTATCGGTCAATATGGCCCCTTTTGCAATAGCAATCTGCATGCAAGAACTTCCAACATTTCTGCCAAATTTGAAATCGATAACTTCATTTTTGCGGCCAAGAGGCGTTACACATCGAACAGACGGACAGACGGACAACCTTACATGCTTAAATCGATTCAGAATGTAATGCTAATCAAAATAATCAAAATATATACTTTGCGGGATGTCTGGAGCTACCTTCGGGTATTGCAAACGTTTTGACAAAATGAACATACCGCTCATCCTTCGATGATAGGTATAATAATAAAACATTTGGCAATAAATTTAAGACATTATTTGGACATAGATAGTCGAGCAACGCATGTAGTACCCTGCACCTAACTATTCATGTTATATGCTGAACGATCAAATTATCTGTTGATGTGCCAGAAAACGCGAAAGAAAATCGTTCGAGTCGAATCGTAAAAACGAAGAGATGATACCAGGGGATTAGCGAAACGCAACGCCAAATAAATTAGGCAATAGGAGAAAAAGAATGCTTTTAGAGATTTTCTCCCAGCAACCATCAGCAGAGTATAAGTAATGAGAACGACACCGTTTGTGAAGTTGAAGCAAGTAATCGTGAACGAATCTCTCGAAGACCGCACCTTTACCCAGGCGTAATTGCTTCAATATTTACCCCCAGTCCTGTAATTATTAGATATACGAAATATACATTTGTCACGGAAATTCCTTATTGACTTGACGATTCATTCTTTAGGAGGCTCCTTTGCAAATCGATTATATAAAAAGAAATTCCCTTTTAATTATATAAAAGCTAAGCCATTTTTAATCCTTTTCTATTGCTGAATATTTCGCGTCGTAAAGCTCTTGATTGCTTCACTGTACACAATCATTTCCCATCATCATAAACACATAAATAGTGTAAAGGAGAAGACCGGCCGGCGCCGTTATGTTTTTTTTTTTTTTTTCTAATAGTAAAATGTAACTGAAAACGGAAGTAAAAACCTCTGCTTTATGCTTTGTTCGTTCCTTCAATTCTCGTGCAAAGCAAGCATGTATGAAACTGTATATAGAGCGTATGGGGCATATATTATTGTTGTTATTGTCGATGGAGGGCATTTACTGATATGCGTGTTATTACTCTCGGTGTTATTTAACAATTTCAAAGGATAAAAAAAATCAATATTTCCACTCTTTAAAAGATAATTTTTTTCAAAAGTTGTGTTGGTTTGCTTGGAAAGTAATGTAAGTGGCCTTTTAGCATAAGATTTGAATATTTTCTAGCGTTGCAGCGATGGTATTATAGCCAAGTGAACATTTCAATTAGTCGATTGTATTGCTGATGTTCACGGTGTTTGTACAACTAAAGGCAAGCGATCCCATTTTTTTATAAAAATACGATTTAGTCTTAACAGGACATTAATTTGAGATGCAGAGACGCGCTAAATTTTAAAACTTTTTAATTTTTTTTTAAAAATGCAAATAAATTTTATATCATTTTATAAAATGAATCTGCGTGGAAATTAGCCGATTTTTTAAGACACCAAGAGAGATAAACATAAGCATGTCGTACGAAGAAGGGAATAAACGATAAATTTGACAATAAGGTTAGGCAGTGATAATTTGCTTGCAAAAGTGCATATAAGCAGACAGTCGAATGAAGAGAGTCGAATCGTAATATGCGAATGCACAAAACGTTCCGTTAATGTAAACATCACAATTCAGTGATACGAACTTAAGTTCAAAAATGAGTTGGAGAAAAAAGAAAGGCATGATATGGTTAAGCAAAAGCGAGTTCCCGGATTCGATTGGGAATTTGTGAACAAGGCTTATATAAGACTTGGAAGAAATATGAATAATGATTTTGTGTTTACACCGAGCACCAAAGTATGAATTGTCAATACAAAACATTAAATGGTTAAATTCTGGAAAGCCATGAACAGGATTACGGTTTTATATACCAAATTCTTCTGTATGATGAAACTTTTTTCATCTGTGTGGGTACGTAAACAAACAAAACTCTTACAGAGGATGCTGCGAAAAGATGAGAAACATTCAAGGAACCTCTCAAAGCGCAAGTGACAGTTCTATGCAGATTTCACGTAATAATTAATTAAGCCAAAGTTTTTTAGGCGTAAATAATTATCGCCAGCACTGCACCACCTGCCCCGCAGCTTGTAAGACTAAGTGGCTTCATGCAGAGTTCGTCAATACGAAAGCGTGAAGCTTACAAACTTATCAACGAATAATACATAGGTCAATAATTCCCAATTCGCAATAATTTTATTGCGAAATTCGACTTTGTTGATCAATAAAATCCTTCCCTTTAACATTTTTCTCAAACCATTTGTGAAAATAATCAATGTAAACTTTAGTTTCCCTAATGAATGCATTATGGGATCCAAATGTGTTTTCTTGGCACATTATCCTACGACTTTCGTATAGTCTTCGCAGCCTAGAGATGTGCAGAATAAAATGAATATGGCAGAAATTCGAACCATCATTCATACAACTTTCCCATTGTAGGCATAGGCTCGTGACACAATGTGCCTATTCCACTGTGACTATAAACGCGGCACAATTCGCTATCTCCGAACATATTTAGGGTGCCAGGTATCTCTTCAAACTTCACCTTTTTTGTTGTTTTCTAACGTAATCACTACTCTCGAACAAAATGCCAACAAGTTGCTGTTTTCAACAATTGTCTAGGACGCGTTATTATCTACATATCAAGACGCTACTCAGCTAGTCAGTACAGCGAATGATATATGTTGTCGTCATTACAGATTGATCCTTAATGGCTGCGAACAAAAAAATATATGTAATCTGGCATATGAATGTCAGAAGCTGATTCTTGACAATCGACATATGATGCTCGAAGAGTTAACTCGAACGACAAATAAGACATTTAGGTCTTTTCACAATATTTGCGTTAAGATTTTTGGCATCGAAGATATTTTCTCGCAATAGATTCCAAGAAAACCATATTTTCCTAATGATATGATCGCAAGGGACCTTATATGTTATTGTCTGGGTCCCTATTGTCCCTTTTTTCAAAGCTATAATGATTACTTTCAGAGCATTTTGAACCGATGAAATTTATCTAACAGAGAACAAGTAGCTTAGGTCCAAACATCAATCAGACAACTAACGATATATAGATGACTACATCCAAGGATGCGTCAATAGCTTTGAAAGAAATAATAAATTATGATCTGTTTTTTGACAATTTCGGTGAATATGCCTATCGTTCTTAGTTGGAACTAATAATATATGCCAATGATTTAAAACTGTCTTCTAGATAAATCAGAGCAAGAGATATACGTCTACCATAAGATGGAAACTCACCTGATACAATTAAGGCTTCATTTGGACCAGTTGTGTGAATATTTCCCATGTTTATCGGCTGCTCGACTTATTGTTTGGAAGTTTTATATGACTGGGTTTTTTTTTTGAGTAAAAGCTTTTTTTTTTCTTTTATTTGGCAAATTTATGGAAGAAAAAATATTCTTTAATTTATTACCCTACTTGCACTACTGTGATCTGAAATAATTAGAAAAACTTTTACGCGGTATTAATTTCAAAATTATGTTTCCTTCCTCTCTTTCGATAGATCTCTCTCGTGCAAGTTTTCGTTTTTTCTCTTAAGATTTTTTCAACTTAAGTCATCAGAGTTTCACCAGCTAACCCTTGCACTATAGACGCACTTTTCGATAAATTTAATAATATATTAAATAATACAATTAATATATAAAAGCAAAAAACAAAAATATTAAATGTCGTCAACGCATCTTTTTCTTATCTCGGCATAAATTATAAGTGGTTAAAAGATTCCAAAGTTTTGTGTCACTTTTTAATTCAATAAATTTAATTCAAGAGAAAAATGCATCAATATACTGTAGAGGGAAAGAGACAAAACATGTATTAATGAAAATTTAATGAAAACAAGAATACATTAACGCTTTGCACAAGAAATATCTTCATTATTTGTGCATATGTAATTAAAAAATATAACTTTATTAGAATACTAAATAAAAGCTTGTGACGCACAATTTTGTTTCTTGATGTGCATATATAAATGCGTATATATAAATATATAAATATATATATTATAAACCCGTATGTTTTTTATTGCTTCTTTGTATTTAGAATTTTCTTTTGGTAATAAATATTAGCTCACTTTTATATCTATTTTTGTATATACACTTGAATATTCTATTTCATTATATTTAAAAAAAAAAAAAACAAAATAGCAAAGAAAAGTAATCACACATCGCCCGGTTTCACATTTATTTTATATTTACTAAAACGTTAAGAGCACAATATTAACGAATAATAAATAGACTCCCGCTGTATAATAAAAATTAAATGTTATACGCCTTTATATTTTTGTAGATATTATAATTTTCACGGATTTCGAGTAAGAACACTTTTTATGTTTGTAATATCTAAACTTCTTGTCTAATTCTCATAGAAAATTTTCTTCTCAGTTTATTTCGTACAAGCTCTCGCGATACAAAATTCCCGCATCTTTATCAATCAACTCGTTCGAAGAAGACTGAGAGACTGTAGGAGCAACAACAACGGCAAACATCAAAATATTCAAACTCTGCATGCATGTACGTTGTATATGTGTGTTTGTTTTGTTATTTAAGATTTTGTCTTTTTGAGAGTAAAGTTTACTTTACTGTGTGTTCTTATGAAACTCGTTGTTGCCTTTATTGAGAGTAAGAATATCTTCTTGAGAGTACAATTTACTTTGCTATGTATTCTAAATGAAAATAAATAACAAATAACGGCTGCCGGTTCATCAGATGTTTTTACAGAGAGGAGATGTCTTTTATTACTTGGCAGCGTGGTGTCTCTCTGAGAGTAGATTTCTTTGACACGCGGCACTGAAAAAATCTAAAAAATGTTTATATCTGTATTCATGTATACAATTGTTAAAAAGTGGTGATTCTCTCTCTCTGTTTCCTACCTCTTTTTCAGACAGGAGTAAACCGAGAGACGAGTAATTGACAAGATGCTCCAACATTTTGCTCAAAATACACACTAGTAAAATTTTCAGAAACTTTTCGTGTTCCGTTATCAATAAAAGCAGTAACGCTGTTAATTAGCAGCCATTTGGTCGTTACTCTCTATTTGTTTGGGAAAGAATTCTTTTAAACTGTTACACTATATCAACCACTGTTATTTTAACTTTTCGTAAACAATTATCTCCCATTACTCCTTACAATAAACGTTTTTCTTTGGTTTCAGTAAATTATTTAAAGTGCTGACTATCAACGATTGGTCAATCCTAGAGTTTCGCACATTGTAAAATAATTTTATTAAATCAATTCAAGTTAATGTCAACTTCAAGTTTGGCATCAATCAAAAACTTTAAGTACCAAATAAAACTTTTCAATTAAAAAAAAAAAAAACCGAAGATTTTCATTTATTTAATTTATATAAGACAAAGCCAAAAAAGTAGATGGAATAAATGATGAAATTCATCTGTTTTCTAATTCTTATCTAAGTATGTTCGTCAAAAGCTTCAATAGGATTCAGTAAAAATATTTTTATGAAAAATTAAGAGGAAATTTTTTGCGATTTAAAAAAGTGATTTTATAGGAATAATTTATCTTTATTTCAGTTAGTTATTATTTGCATATTTAAAAATTTCATTTACATACACATATATTTGAGATATTCTGGAATATGTAATTGAAATTTATTGAAGCATTTGGCAGAGTTTCTCAACGTGATATTAACAATGAAGAGGAAACAAATTATATATTGTACGTCCCTACTTTTTAGATCTTTCGTATATATACATTTATATATGAAACATAACGCACATTCGTTTAAAAACAAAGAAGTCTATATGAATTTGCTTTGAAATTGTTTAATACAGGGTCAAATCCCATCTAAAAATTCGTAACGGAACCCTTGTCCAAGCAGATAATAAGAAGGAAAGAGCAAGCGTTCAAGTAGCTGCTAATTAGCATCGCTACTACACTTATTGACAACAGAACATGAAAAGTTGTTGAAATTTTGCTAAGGTGCATGTTGTAAAAAATATTGGGGCATCCTGTTATTTGGATGTCTCTCGTAACATGAAATTTGACAATAACAGTGCCGACAATAACTGAATAAATGATACTAAGTAATGACAACAAGATATGCTATCAAAAAATGGAGGAATTATATATGAAAAATTTAGCTTCGGCTATTCGGCAAAAACGCCTTAACATAAAAACGAATATACTCTCCTTGATAAAAGAGCTGCCGAACTTAAATAATACGTAATTACATATTAAATCAATATACTACCAAGATTTACAGTATACTAAAACAGTAGATTCAAAGCAGTTCCATTACAAGCACCTAATAAATCGAAGTTCTTTCACTCTTTCAACGATCCGCTTGCTGATTCTTGCCACTTTTCTCCACCCACCATAAGCTTCTGCATTCCCAGTTTTTATAATCAATTTGCGTGTGATTCCTGTTAAAATCGTGGCGATAATCAGGTATAAATGATGTAGTTTTCGCCAGTTTTAGTTTTTAAGCAAAAACCCTTGACCACAAAAGCAAAAGTCTGCTTACAATTACGTGATTTCCACTCTTGTCTGTAAGATTTAAGATAAAAAATTTGCAAGTTTTGAAACAAGTTGACACAAAAACATTAAATTTGTTACTGTGATTTGCATAGTAAAGAACGTTAAAGTTTCAAGTCACCTAATTTTGGAACCTTATAATTTGCTTTTCGAATAGATCTGTTGTATTCAAAGATCTTTCTATATTCTAATGGCTATAACAGAGTCTCTACAAAATTGTTAGCTTCATTTTTTATTTTTAATTTTTTTTGATATCAAAGTTTTCATGGACTTTAAGCAATAATATTTTTCAAGTTTGTAATATTTAAACATTTTGTGGAACTTCAGTTCACACGCGTTTTCCCGCGTAAAAGAGCTAAAAGTTGGCTTTGCTTTATTGCGTCAATGAAGTGTTGTTCCATGACCCTTTTTAGGCAAACTATGCTATTATTAGTTAAGAAACTTCGTTCGTTCGTGACAAGGCCGAAAGCTGATAAGCGATTTTGTTTGCTTCATATAAAACTTCCGTTCATGTCTTCATTTTTGTTGCTATCATTCCTATCGGGTGAAAAAGCAGGAAAAAGAAGAAAATTTATTTATATTTATTTATGCCTGTCAAAATCGAAACAATAACAGTTGATTCTGTTTAAACTGCATGAATATATCAAACTTTTGATGTAACAAACGATAATTTATAACTTTTATAAAGATTTAAATAAAACTGAAATTACAATTTATTTGCATTTTCCCTAGACTCCTGCTACTGTGCACTAAGACCTATTCTATGAAAGATTAGAAATACCAGGCAAAATGCGATATGTATGCAGACATTATACAGAGAAGTAGTGCTCGAGCCGAACGAGCTCAACAACCGCCGTCGAACTGAATAGTCGTTCTTCGACCTAGAAACAACTTTTTAAGTTAAATATTAACGCTAAGTAGACGAACAATATGTAAGTATTTCGTAGTATGCCTTTATTAGCTTCTTTTCGGCTCTCTCTTTAGGCTGTGATTGCAGGGCACCGTCCAAACAACAAGTGCATGAACAGTTGGCGTTTCATTGAGGCCCATCCCAAAATGGCACAAGCCTACAACCAAAGTTGTGCCCACCCACGTGAACCATGTCACGGAAAAGAGCTCAGTCTTTTGGAGACGATATGACAAGTATAGCTAAAAAATTAAGTACGCACATATAATTTGTTATTTAAACGACTTTATAGTTGTTTCTTGTTAGATGCAGCTGGAAAAGGAACTAGGCCGTCTCATACTGAAAAGTGCCTCCAATAAGTGCCCTAAGTATAGAACGAGCAATATGTTTTTTCTACTACAGCTGTTTTTTAGTTACAAAGACTCTTAGCAACTAATGCTAACGCAAAAGCTGGGGTATTCAGCTTTCGTGTAATTTGACAGATACGGGAAAATGCAATAGTGTTGTGCATACGTAAAACAAAAAAAGCGCAGGTCATCAAAATATGCTGAATGATATCTTTTACGTGAAGCAAAACCAGTTGAAAAACCGAAGCGGAAGCTAAATTTCATATACACAATCAACGTTTTTCTTTTTAATCGATTAAAAAATTTCAATTTTCTTTCGTAATTGTATCAAATCCAGAAACAAAGTGCGTTAGCGTTAACTCTGTGTGAATGTATGTACGTATATAAGATCATCAAATAAGGATTTTCTTTTGCTTTAATTTATGGTAAAAACTAAGCGGTAAGGGCGCTGACACAATGAGGCGTCGATTTCGAGTTAAAAACTCCCATATGGTTCTACAGCAAAATGTAAACAAAAGCATATGATTTTTTAACCAAAAATAAAGAAACCGACGTAAATAGAACAATTTTGTGTCTTCTATGAAACGATCGCTGTTTTTACACCCATCACCGAAGCGTTGTTTTACGTGTTTTTTGCTGTAGCCCATAATTTACAACACATATATATGAAGTTCCACAAATATATATATATATAAATTTCCACTTTTATTCTAAAATTAAAAAAAATCAAACAGAGTACTAACATCGTTAAGGAACCTTCTCCCTCTACCCAAAAAAATTCAAAATTCATTCACTTTATCGAAAACTAATACGAAAAGCAGACTATAAATATTGCCTCTTCCACCACTTGGGTAAGCGGGCGGACAAGTTAATGCGACGAATGGGCATCCAGGCAAAACAATAAAAATAAATTATTCATGTAACTTTATTGCCCCGAACGAATGTCTTATTGCTTTCCTTATAAGTCATTCATTTCACAATTTTTCACAGACCAACTGAATTATGACCTTCAGCGAATTTTTTCCTTGTCATGACTTGAATTGGTTAAAAAGAGCTTTCTTAACGTGGTTGGCGATTTAACTTCAAATATTTACAACTTACGGACCACTTAACGCAGTCTTTCCTAGCGTTCCTACCAAATTTTTGTACACCATCCTCTTGATTTTGCCTTCTTGAAATGTGTTGTCTATCATTTCTGGAACGGATTTGATTGCTTTGAATGTACGCCGCGCACGGCTTTGCGTCCGGCAGACAAGTTTCATTTGAAACGCAAAACTTAAGGCCTAAAAATATATCAATTTTTTATTGGTTATATACAAACACCCTAATAGATTGATTAGTCAGGTTATGGGTGTTACGGGCGTTGTCACATTTAAATACAATATTTTAGTTATAGAATGATTTTGCTTTAAAGAAGCATATACGCTCGTTCCAATTGTGTGTTGGAAATTCGATTCGGTTTTCGCTTAATATTACATCTCGTAGAATATGTAGAAAATGCATTTTCTTTAAAACAATTTCGCGCTGGTGACTGATATGTTATGCTCTGTTGTCTGCGAGTGGTGGCAAAAGGTCTTGGTAAACTATCGAATGCGACCGCAGTAGGAAGCGCCTTCAAGGTTCCCACTGACATAGTGTTTGCGTTAGCGGGATTTAAATTTCGTTTATTGTGTTCCTGCTTTGCATTTGTGCAGTGAGCCCTTTTGAAATTGGGATTCAAGGTTTCGGGCATATATTGTATAATTTCGGGCAAATGCAAATCTTGTTGATCGCGTTCTTTTTCAATCAAATCGTATTCACCTTTTATATCGCGTTTACTTGGAAGATGTAAGAAATTTCTTAGATTTTCTAACGGCCCAAGAGACTGCAACTTTTGCCGAGCATTTTGCTTACTACGAACAGTGCTGCGAGGTCTAGCAGTAGTTCTAGCTTTGGAAAACATTTTCATTAATTTAGCCTTTTTTTCCAAGAATTTCCCTTTAAAGCTCGGCAAAAGCGTTCTCGGTGTCGTTTTAACTTTAGTAAGCGAAAATCTCCCTTTTGTCAGCACTTCGCGCTTACGGCGAATGTACGGAACGTCATCGCTTGGGCGCACCTGCACATATTTAGCTGTAAGCGCTTCATTTGCCGCATTAGTTGTTTCATTCCTCTGCGATATAGTCGTAACTTCTTTAGGATATCGATGTGAATGCTGAGTTTGCAGGCAAGTTCTCTCTTTGGAATTTAACTCAACAATACAATCTGAAACAATTAATGAAATATGAGCGAAATGACGTTTAAGGAAAGAAGAAAAACAAAACGAGTATATATTAAGAATAAAATTTCTTAAAGCCATTAAGAGTTGTTCCTGAGGTTAGGTCCGTTCTCTGTGATCGCTAAAACGCGATTGCGCCAAGTGAAAGCTATGATCAAAGTGATTTATCCGCTAAACCGAGACGTCGAGTCAACGCTATCTGCTAAAAATTTTGCCACGAAAATATACATGGGCTTAATATAATATTGTTTACCTTGATGCTTAGCAGTAATGCGATCTATTTTAGCATAGCCATTAAACTTTTTTTCAATTAAGGGCTTCGCGGTGTAGGGCTCTTCAATCGTGAAGCCATAAATATAGCTTGGCTTAGGATATCTTCTTTGGGGATTGTCGATCTTATAATCGTAAATGTTGTGAGTGTAGTAGTAGCCAGAAGGAGATGGAGGTATATTCACCGTATAGCCATAGTGCTTAGGACAATCGCAGCTATCGCCCGAATAAACAATTTCAAGAGGTGAGCATCGTCCCATTATTACCTAGGGCGACATATTACCTCAAGAGCTGAGAATGCCTTCTTGATAGTTTATAGATGCACTTACTGTTCTAAGAAGAATGACGCTAGCAAACAGTAAATTGTATCGTATATATTTATCATTCATATTGATCTCGTCTTAATTGATTTTGAAGAGATCGATTTAATTTCTTTGCGTTTTCTACTTCTTCTCAGTGTATAATGTTTAGTAAAAGTGCAAATGCAACTGAATGTATGTCGCTACTTATCGGATTTTATTTATTTTACGTTATGCTTTTAATGCAACTTCGAACAGTTATGCGTGTCTTATTTCTGTTTTAATATGATTGCGGAAGACTTGCAATTTCTGCTGATTTTTTAAATAATTCGTTCAATATTTCAAGGTTAATGCGAATATAATAAGTTTTCACTTATACGGGGAACAGAGATATGCACATGCTGTCATAATGTTTGCAACAACCGAGAGGAAGCTTTAGAAACTTTATTCTCTCAATCGATCTAATTAAGCTTGTCCGTCTGTGCGCCTACGTGTCTGTGTGATGCTCCAGCAAGGGTTAAAATATGGTCATAAAATTTTGTAGAAACATTGAAAATGTTGGAAATAGATTAACTGATCGAAGGACACGCCCATAGTAAAGCGTAAATTGAGCGAACATCTGTTTCTCTAGGCAACAATTTTTTATTATTGTTATTCATTATTCATAAATTACGAATAACAAAGAACGAAGGCTGAAATTTTCTAATTTTATTTTATGAGGGATGCTGCTACTACTCATGTTCAAAAATGGAAGAAATCCACCACGCTCATACAAAGTTATAAGCGATCAAATTTGCATTTATTTCACTTTTCTAACTCATTTTTTATCACTCATAAGATTAAGAAGACAGAACGTTGCGTACATTCTTCACATGATGACACTTTGTCCGTCTAAAAAAGGCTTGGTCCCAAATAAAGCGTAGTGGACGCTACAGAATAGCGCATTCGTTTTTTCCTAGGAGTGCAATGAAATGCGTATCAAATGAAAGGGTTGGCAGACTAGAAAGCGACAAGCGAAACGTATTAAGTAAGTCACGCGGCGATAGATTAATTTCCTTTGACATGAGTGTCAATTTTATATCAACATTTGTTTGAAATAAACTTTTCGTTAAGTAAATTAAAAGGCGGGAAACAGATTCTATCCCAGTCACTTCTATGTGACTCAGCATAAAAGCATGGTATGATGAAGTGAATGGTAGTAGGTGTAAAAGATTCGACCCCAGCCGAATATAACTCTCTTACTTGTTAGATGTCGGTAAAGTCTTTCAATTATAATGGACATTACAAGCGTTTATCTGATGCAATGAAATGATAACCACTTCCTAAACTTTCGATTTAATAATAAAGTGCCGATTAGCGACGTCATGTCCAAAGTTTCGGTCTTTATGTCGTCAAGTTCTTATAAATGGGACGTTACAGCAAATTCAAGTAATATGACGTCCCATTAGCAACCCTTTCCCGTTTCTAATACACAACTGTTTCTTTTAAGCTTATGTAATATCAAAAGCCCCGAACATAATCGAGAAGCGAACTTTCCAAAGGAAGCCATAATCAAAGCGAGACGAAGCTTTACAATCTACAACAAAATTTACAAAGACGCTTAAGAAACTTATATTAAGAAATCGAAAAATCGTTTGCCCGTCTGATGTCTGTCCATGTAAGCTTGTGTTCAAGCTGCAGGTGGCAATTGTCGAGATATTTTGATGAAATTTGTTGCAATGACGTGTTTTAACCCAAGGACCAAAGCCATTGAAAATGATTCGGATCGTTCCGTTTTTTCGACCGTGCCCCATATAACGCCCTATTCTGAAAAATCGCGGATATAAAAAAAAGTTGCAATTTTCAAAATTTCTCGGCAGAAGTGGCTAAGTGGTATTATTTCGGCATATTAAATTGATATGCAAGCCTTGGACCAGTTGGAGCAATATTTGTAACCCGTCCCAAATAACGACAACTGAAGTTCATACGAGAAAAAGATATAATTTTCAATACTCCACGATGAAAATGATATCACAATAGTAATTCAGCATAAACGCTTCCCTAATAAGGACTCTCACCTAAATTGAAACTTTGTAGAGCAACAAAGTCTAAGTTTTAACAAGTGGTGATGGAAATTGACCCATAATATTATCGTAATTTCATACAAAAATGAACTCTACAAAAATTGGGAAATCTCTGCCTATTTTTGAATTCTGCCCTATGTAGGGATTAAACTTGTCATACGTTGGGTAGCGTTTTGGACCCAAGCACATAAAAAATTTGCTTTTATATAGAAAGAAGATATAATTTTTGTGTTCTATACTAAAAATAAGAATTGTGTTAACTAATGTTGTGTAGGACGATCTAGCTCGACTATAATGTTCTTACTTGTTTTCCTTTCCAATGTTTGTGTGTATAAGTGAACGTATGTTTCCCGTATCATCCTTGGATGATGGATATAAAAAGTTGAAAGTTTGGACAAATTTCAAAGTTTTAAGCTCCTTAGCTTACTTTCTTAACATAGGACAGAACATTGTGACTATTGTAATATTTGTAGAAAAGAAGAAGAAGAAGATAAATAATACTTTTAATTAATTTATATCTACTATTGTTTGCTATAGATAGCGTCTTCTTTAATTTTCATAGGTGCAACTCTTTCACGTTTTAGAAACACACACATTTGCTTTGGCTTTGGCTTTGGAATGTTTTGACCGCTTATCCGCTATAAGGATAGCTTCACTTTACTAAATGAAAGAGCGTCAACGAGGAATATTGTGCTTTAGTAATTACATCCAAAAAAGTCCTAGCAACCGAAAATTTCAATTAAATCAATTGTTGGGTCAAAGGAAGTGACCAAAAAAAATAACTCACAGTAACATTGAATTTACATTTTTACCCATTAACGGACTAATAGTAAAATCGATTTAGCTGAAATTTATATTGAATCTAAATAGAGGACATCCAAAATCCAAGCTCAAACGAAAGTAATTTCTTTATATATTTATTTTATTTACTCTCTTTGCTTTTACATTCTTTCTTATAATCGAGTATTTATCACTTTCGATACGTATCTAGGTCGTGTGCCGAATTCTTTCCATTTTCTTTGCTTCCGTAATAAATTGAATCATGGACCGAAGATGATGAGGAAGAAGAAGACGAAGAGGCCGAAGAAAAAAACCTTTGAAATTTTGGATTTGGAAGTCTTTCCGTTACATAACCCAATTGTTTGTAAGTTAATCGTAGATCTTTCGATCCATCATTTGCTAAAGCATCCCTTTCGTCGTCGATATCAAAGTAATCGTCAGTTTGCCTTTCGTCTTCTATAGGCAAAGATTTGTGTAAAGTGATGACATCATTCTTATGGGCGAAAAGATTCTCCTCTTGTACGGATGAATAGAAAGTTTTAGGCAGAGCTTCAATGGGTTTTTGAATAAAACCATACGAAAGCTTAGCTTCTGGCACGGCTAGAGCTTGGCCAGCTTTTATAGCTAAACTAACACTGACAGGATCAGCGGACGGCGAATCGTCTTGACTACTTAAAAAGACATAAGTTAGCTTAAGCTTAAAATAATCAATCGATGCATTATCGGCAAATGTAATAAAACTTACTTTGTTGATAATCTCGTCGAATAAAGCGATGAATCAGCAAAATGACTATTTATAATGGAATCTGAAATTTCGCAATTGCATGTTTTTGTTTTGTGCTGCAAACGCAAGTATAGGTAAAAAATTGTAACCGCCTAAATTACTTGATTTATTTGATTTACCTTTGAACAGGTTTCGGATAATACAACGGGCTCAACTGTTTGCTTACTGCACCAGCAGTTATCGCCAACCGGCGATAAGTTCACTTGTGGAGGCTCATTAGTAAGCGGATGTTTGGGTGTAATCACCTTACTCTCGGTACAATTTGAGCAATAATCTGATCCCTCTTTATTGCATACACAAGCACTTAATCTCTATTAAACGATAATTGATATAACTATAATGACTTTTCTACGTTTAGTTGCTTACCTCGTTCATTAGACATACGAATCCTGTAATCCACATAATTAACTTTATGGCGCGCAACATATCTTCCGTAAACTAACTTATTTCACACTACAACTGCTCTATTCTCAGACTGATTGAAAAGTTCATTTATTAAAGTGCGAATTTATATCCCAACTTGAGATGGCGTTTACTTCAAAGCAGAAATAAATTCGTGCAAATTTGCAGAAAAATTAATTTCTCATGCTTCCACGTTAGATAACGATATATTAGTTTAATATAAGCGCCCATAGCAGTGACTTTGAACATAAATGCTCGCATTCCATTCGAATTTATGCATTTAATACATTCATATACATACATATGTGAAGCAAGCGCTCCTTTAGATAAAATCGATTTTTATACATGGTTTTTCTGATTCCCCGCGAAAGTCCACAAAACAAGGTTGAATGCTTTCTTCTTTGATTAAAAAAAAAAGAAAAATTTTATTCGTCTGTGACCGCATCTTTTATACCCACCATTGTTATTCAAAAATATATAACAAAAGTGAAAACATTATAGTTGAGCTAGGCCGACTATTGAATACCGTACACAACATTGTCTAACATAATTCTTATTTCTCCATAGAACACAAAACCGTTTTTATAGGAACATAATATTATGAGACTGTATATTAACAATTAGATCTCTTGGCAAATGATGGCGGTCCATTAGAATAGTTTTTTATGTCAAATAACAATTATGGGCTGATTTTCATCATAGCATATTAAAATCTAGATTTTTCTGTCCTGTAAAGGATCAATTTTCATGAAATCCATATATAGCGCAGTATCTAACAAATAGGCCGAGATAGTCCAAATTTGGTACAGTTAATTTTTTTATGTTAAATTGCTTTTATAATATGATTTTCATCATAAGGCATTGAAAATAGTATTTTTTGCCGGATAAACCTCAATTTTCGTTATATGAGCGGAATGCAGTGCAGAAGTGCAGGCGGACAAATGGACATACGAACGGACGTAAATGCATGGAAAACAAAGTGTAAGATTTTGGCAGCTTGAGCTCTGCTCGAATTTGTTCAATTTTTGAGAATTGTTAATGCCATCAGTCGATTATTACGAATTATATGACATATATATATAGGTCGGTTAGGTAACTTTAATGTCGCGTAAGTTTTGAAAATTTTATGAAAAAATGATAATAAAAAAAGTGAAGATCTGTCTTCGATGGTTCACAATTACGATTTCATAAGTTGTATATACGTTCCTAATGTGTGTGAAATTCTTTGCTTTTAGCGCGATACCTAGAAAGCTTAACTTCTAACGGCATATACGCTGCATCAATAAAGACCGATGAAATTCGGAAACGGTTATAATTTGCCTATAGATACATTCTCAAGTATTAGAAAACTCCAGACCAGTCAATTACTGGAGAGTCGTTGAAATTTTTAACACATTCTAGCCGAAGTCTCTCCGTCTCTTCGTCCTAATACGTTAAGGGGGGTAACGACGATGCCATTAAAGCCC